GGTTTGAAACTCATGACAAGGAATGATGGTTGGAGCTGTGACAGTGTATGAGGTACCAAGGAAGATAAAGCAAAAAGGTTTGGAGAGAAAAAGAGACCTTAGATAATAGAATTTAAGGAATATTCTGTAGAAAACCAACTAACGTCCACTTCATGATAGCACATTCTTCATCGAGCCAACACAAGCCCATCCCCCAAAATATCCTGTTGTGGCTGAGAAGCCATGACTCACTAAAGAGATTATGTCCATTTAGACACCAGTTTTCCTTGATGACATCACTCCTATATATGAAGCAAAATTACACCAAAGCCATATACGGTTTTATATAATAGTAGGTCTATTTAGTTTCCCTTAGATAGGTCTTTAATAAGTACCAATGATGTGTAAAAATGGTATGGGTGGTTACCTAAACTGCTAGCCCCTCAAATCTTTTCTTAGATCAGCTGACTCTCTCTCTCTCTCTCTCTCTCTCTCTCTCTCTCTCTCTCTCTCTTTTTTTTTCCTTTTCCCCAAGTTTTTGGAGTGGATCCAGAACAGATTCTGAGAGCCTCAAGCTTTTCGTTATTTACCCTCCAGTAATTACATGTCACAGGTTGTCTTCCCTATTAGAGTGTGAGGCTGAGCAATTAGTCTCCCATTGTCTTTGCAGGAAATGACATCCGTGTGACTTCTGGGGAAGGCAACTGTTGATCACTCTGGTTAAAATAATGTGGAAAGTGTTGAGCACTTTGTCTGGTTGATAATTTAGACTGGCCAGTTTGGAAAACTTTTGGAAATGGGCAAAGTTAACAATGGTTGTCAGAACCGGAAATACTAACTGGGTCAGTTCCCCCAACAAAAACAAGGCTCTAAACTGTCGCTCTGGTCCCTCGATGCACTGACTTGTCTGAACTCTTCAGCATGTGGCTGAGCCCAGTGCCTGGGCATTCTGTTCTCTTAATAATGCTTTATTTTGGGGTGTTTTCCAGCTGTAGATCATTGAAAACTCCACTCCAGGAGGCCTGAACAATAAGAAATTTACTGGCAGTTGGGTGATTCCACAGACTTCAGGGTTGACCTAATGCAATCAGCCCTACTATGCGTCCCTGTGGTTTTTCTGTCTCTTCCCTTCCTCTTTAGGTGGGAGAAAGGTAGCTGTGGAAGTCCTAGGTGTCACTTCCCACCCAACAGTCAGAGGAGGGAATTTCTCCCAGAAGAATGAGGAGATGCTCCCGAAAAAACTTTTTCACATCTCAGTGTCCTGAATTAGGTCACATGCCAATTCTTAAACCCATCACTGGAAAGGGGTTTCTCTTAGATCAGTGAATCTCAAACGTTAGTGTGCACACAGATGAAATGGGGATCTTGTAAAATAGGTTATGATTCAGTAGGTTTGGGGTGGGGCCTCAGAACTGACGTTTCTCAGATGGTCCCAGGTGATGCTGATGTTTCTTGTTGGCACACTATACAGCCTTCGACTACTCAGGTCCCCACCCTCCAGCTGGGGCTGCTGTCACCTGTCCATGAGACACTGTGCCTGAAGGAATATGGAGCATCTGTTAGGAAAAGGAAGAGAGAATGGCCCCATGCACATGGGACTTGTATTCAAGAAAACTTGTTCTCAGTGTGTATTGAGAATGTTCCCTTTAAACCGGGAGCCACACAGTAGTCTATGATATGTATTAAAAGCAAATAGTACATACAGTGCAATGTGTTGTGTGGGAGCCCCTTTAAACATCTTATTATTTATTTATGAGGATGAATACATCATAATTCCTGAAACAGAAGGTAAAGCAGTCATGCTACCCTCTCCATTATCATTTTTATTTAGTACCACATATCTAGTGTGTCTCAAAAGGAACAAATTCAAATGAAATGCATTTAAATGTCTTTAAGAATAAAACTGTGTGCCAAGTCCAGCCTTTGTTCTCTGAATGGAGATCTCATTAGTCTTGGTTACTGGGATGGGAGACTACACCCCACTTATCATAAGAGTCACTTGACATGATGTAGGGCTTGAAAATGCTGCCAGTGGTGAATTTCTGCCAAAGCAAATGGTCACAGTGCCCTTATGAATGGTTTCAGTGGAGACTATCATTATTCTCTCTTCATTTGAAAAGGATGAACTAGTCTGTTATATTTTTGTTTTTCTTGGCAAAGACACACAGGAGTCCTGAGCTGCAGCTATTTAGGAAAAAAACTGATAGACTGAAGGACTGATATCTATCATGAGGTTGATCCATTATAGACTCAGTGGAGTTCACAGTGAACTATTCAGCCAGGTGCTTAGTAGACAATGCTGAGATGGGCACTTTGGTGGGGTTGCCATCTCCAACCTCATATGCAAAGACAGCATCACTCAGGAGAGGAGATGGAATTTCACTGCTCCATCTACTGGAACCGCCTACCCTGGAACCAGGGGCTCACATACTAGTATGTAGACCAATGGGAAGCCATGGCGACTCTTAACTGGCCCTGCCTACCTGACTCATAAAGGCACGTGTACTTAGGAAATCACCAGCTATTGTTGTCTTTGCAAACGCCTGAAAGGTTGAGAGATTCTCAAACTAGCCCAGGAAAGCTGCTCGACTTGGAGCTCCACAAAGGCAGGAATTGTGCATCAGACAGGCAGCCCCTGTATCAGAAGAATGATTGAGGAGCTGGTCTGTTCCCAGATCTGTCAGTCAGCAGCATTGACTAAGCATTGACTCTCTAAAGAGGAAAAGTAAAGGACAAGAGCATTTTGTTGCCTAATTCCAGTACGTTATACTCTAAACATGGAATGTTTAGGTGCCCCATCTACATATTTAGGACCTCCTATACTGCCAAAGAGAGATAAGATAATATTAATATTAGCTGAGTCTGTGTAGCATAAGCAAGATTGCACTGTTATTCACAGATTAATTCAAGCAGTGCTGCCTAATGCCTTCCTACTGTGCCTGCTGTGAGGCCACGCATTGTTAGCCATGAGAGGAATTAAAAAATGGAAAAGCATAGGGCCTTCCCTTACACCTTAAAAGACTTACAACTTGAAAAGTAGGAAACAGTAAGTACATTTAAAGTATATCAATAATACAAAATTTTTAAAAAGAGAAAAACAAAGAGGGTAAGGTAATATCAAATTGGGAAAATCAAGGTAGAAAGAGCTCAAGAAGATGAACATTTGGCTTAGCCTTAAAGTCGGGATGCTTGACCTGAGTCCATGGATGGAACTCAGGGGGTCTGTGAACTTGGATGGGGAAAAATTGTCTCTTTATTTTCATTAACTCTTTAACTGAAATCTAACATTTTCTTCTATTATGAAAGTGGCATTACTATTTGTTTCCAATAGAAATTATGAGTATTTTCATATTACATTATACTTAAAGATATCCTGAAATATCACCCCAACAGTACTTCAAAATTAGCTGTTTTTAGACTTTTACTGGAATTTATTTAAACATCAAAAGAAGCACATAACAATTTTGATAACTGTATATCAATATACTTCTTTGCATTTCATGTGCTAATTTCAAGCATTTAGAAACATTATTCTGAGAAACATATCTCTAGATTGTTAGGGCACAGAAAGTTAGAGTCCCTGCCTTAGGGAGTGAATGTCTGGGCCTCCTACCAGCACTCATGGGACAGAAGACATTCGGGGAACTAGGGAACTGGCATGCCAAAAGGCTCAGGCAGGGACAGGTGACTGGATGCCAAAGCATTCGGTGGGGAGATGTGGAGATAAAGCCGAGGTGAGTGCGGCACTGGGCTAACACACTGTCACAGATAAAGGTGCAGGTGACAGGAAGCAGTGGAAGGTGTTTCCACTGAGGCCTTACGTGGTGTTTAGGAAGGGTGCTTTGCAGAACCAGGAGTGTGGGATTGGAAGGGAAGAAATAGGAGGCCAGTGATCAGTTTCTGCCAGGACTAATGCCAACCAGAGAGAGCAGAGCATAATCCCAGCGTGAGAATGGGGAGGCCTTGAGTGCAGCACGCCTGGAGGCCTGGAAGGGCAGGCTTAGGCCAGGGTTTACCGTGAAGGTGAGGAAGGCCACGGTAGCTTTCAGGCCTGCGTGACTAGGAGAATGAAAATTGGTTTTCACATTCACCCGCATTTACTGTGGACCAGGTGCTGTTTTAAGCCTTTCTATGTCATTTAATGTCATTCAATTTATATCATTTAATCCTCATAACAACCCTGGGAGGTCAGTATGATGATTCCTATTTTTCATAATAAAATGAAGTCTAGAAAAGAAAGATCAGGTTTCAAAGCCAGTAAAGGAGACAGGAATGTGTTACTGAAAGAAATAGGAAAGAGGAATTGGCTTGGGGAGAAAATATAGTTGAAATATCAACTTTGGATATTTTTGCATTCAATTCTTTTAAAAGGCTAAACATTCAAATAAAGTATTTATAAGCATAGTTTCTGGCTTGCTTCATTGTCCAGATTTTTATTTATTTGTTACTAGAGGCTCAACGAACGAAAATCATGCAAGGGTAGGCCTTCGCAGCCCCAGCTGCCTCATGGCCCTGCCCCCCGCCCAATGGTCATTCCGGAAGGTCGTCTGCTATCTGGTCTAATTAGCATATTAGCTCTTGATTATATAGGATTATATAGGACAGTGATGGCGAACCTCTGACACGCGAACTCATTTTTTTGGTTGATTTTTCTTTGTTAAATGGCATATAAATATCAAAAATATAAATCTTTGTTTTACTGTGGTTGCAAAGATCAAAAAATTTCTATATGTGACACAGCACCAGAGTTAAGTTATGGTTTTTCAAAATGCTGACACGCCGAGCTCAAAAGGTTCGCCATCACTAATACAGGATTATATAGGATAATGCTGCATTGATTTGTAAGTTAGTTTTATCTTCCTGTGAAAACAAAGAGGAATCTGACAGTAAGGGTTTGGTACATTGATGAGAGCCCAAAACAGGAAGACGTGTGGTATCCAGGAGAAAAACACAATATTTACATATATTAAATTATGTCTTTAATGATCCATCTATCCTTCTGTTGTGGTATTGTTTTTCAGGACCACCCCAGCAGCGGTATTAGAAGACATGTGGTGTATATAAAGTTTGTGATAGTTGGGGGAAATTTTGGTAAGTGTCACTGCATTGTTTTCTAATGCCCTTTTTTGTAAAATGGTGTTCACAAAGGGAAGCCATTGTCTTGTTCTGTGCATTTTAAATCTGCACTAAACTCAGACAAAATGCAATTTCATAATTAAATGTGACATTCAGTTGGTGTTTTCTGACAGTATGACTTTTTTCCTTGTTATTGCTGATGTTATTAAACAACATGGGATTTTCTAAGATGTAATGAGGAGTCTAGGTTTAGGGAAGCTTCTGGATGCAGGGTAAGGAATACTCTTGACAGTTTAGCTTATGTTCTAAGCCACCTGTAGAACACAAGAGTAATAAACTTGCAGACCGAAAGAGTGAAATAAAATAAAAAGTCTAAAGCAGAGAGATCCTTATGGCCTCTAGGTTGAAATGAGAGAGAACAGGCAATTGGCTGCTTGGGGAATCCAGCATGCCTGGGAGCCAGCCTACAAAACAAGCATAGTAGAGGCCTGAGAGACCAAGACATTAAGTTCAGCAACCACCCAGAAGACCTTGCTAGCAATAATAAAAAGTTCTACACTGACTGGTAGTTACATAACCTCTTTGGGCCTTAGTTTCCTTGTCTGTAAAAAGGAGGCTTATAATATTACCTACCTCATAAAGTGGTTGTGAGAATAAAAGGAGCTAGGTAGGGCTGTAACATAGTAGGTGTTCAATAAAGCAGTTATTCTTGATAACAGAACAGGCTTGTTTGGAAACTGGACATTTGTCATTGAGGTCAAGCCAGCCAAAGGTGTTCATATCTCCCAGTGGAAGGGCTGCTGGGGATGGGTTGGTCACGCCCCATTTGCTGTCACAGGGCACATCAGATTTGGTCACCACAGTCCCTCCTCCGTAACAAGCTGTGGGAACCCCTGAGACATTTGTCTTTAACCCTGTCAATCCATTCTTAGACAAACTTGGCTAATTTAACTTCCCTTCCTGCCACCTTTAGAGCCAAGTGTGGTCACATTGTGTGAGCTTGGTTCAGTTTTGGAGTTAATGTTTTTTTAAACCAAAATACCAAGAAGAAAAGGAAGGGTTGGGAGTAGATGGTATCCTTGGTTTGGACCTCAATTGCCACATTCAGGCTTTCATTTCCAAACCTGTCTTGATTTTTTTTTTTTTTTGTCTATGCTTATTATGTAGCTTTCATAGAGATCCAATTATTGGGCCAATTTTATTGAGCTTTGACTAAAAGAATATGGCTCTGGGGTGGGCCTTTACCTGTGATTGGGGAAAATCAACCGTATCACTGCAGATGGGTAATGTTTAAGATCAGGTGTCCAATTTCACAGAATCAGAGGGATGGACCCGGCCTCAGGGTTTGTCTGGCCCAATCTCCCACCAGCTGAACAAGTCTCTTCCACAGTATCCAGTAGAGGGAAGTTCACATTCTCTCAGAGATGAGCCTGCTATTGCCCCAAGCCATTTGCTCCAATTTAAAAAACAATTGGGGCATAGGGAAATTTTAAGGGATGAGGAAAATTGTTCTTGATTTTTATTGTGATGGTATTTATGCAACTATATGAGTTTGTGAAAACTTACAGAACTGTACGATTAAAGGGCTGAATTTTACTGTATGTTAATTAAACCTTAACTTTTAAAATGGGAAAAAAAACACAAGCAGGTAGACAAATACGTGGGCATTTGGCTCAAATTGTTAACATACTAGTAGAAAGAGGGAAGGTGGTGGGAGGGGAAGAGATCCAGTCCTTCTATGGACTACAGTGTGCACTCCATGGGACAGAGACTGCGTCTTCGTCCGTCCTGTCGCCTCAGTGCCTGGGCAGTGCCCAGCCCCTGGAAGGCCTGTGGTAAGCATCTACTGAATTACCTACCATTCTTATCACTTTCTAAGCAGACGGAAACAAGTCCACCCACTTTCCCACATCAGCCCACCAGATATTTAAGGACAATCTCCTTCCTCATTTGCCTTTTCTTCTCAGCTGAACCTCCCACCTCCCATTCATTGGCTCTTTGTCTTCTGAAGCTATTTTCCTATCTCTCCCCACCCTGCAACTCTCCTTGAGGAAGCACCTGCTTTACCATGTGCTTGCTTACACCTGGCCCAGCTTTAGAATGCTGCCCCTGGAGTGGGCTGACCCTGGAGTTCAGTGTGCCATTGATTCTGTAGGTGATGTTAATAGACCCCCAACCCTAATCCTCTTCCTTCATAATCAGTCCGGAGTGCCTGGTAAGTATCTTAAAAGTAGTCTTCTAAGAATGGAGCACCTAAAAGTAGGGGGGCTAGCAATCCAGGATATCGGATAGCAGAGTTATCCTATTAAATGACTGAAATGAAGCCAGGCCACCCTTATTTTGAGACAGTAGTGCTGTTTATAAATCTCTCAGGTAGTAATGTATCATAGATCCTGATTCTTCATTATGAGTCATAGGAAGTTTGAAATTCTTAAAACTAAAACTTGTGGATGCCTTGAAAAATCTAGATTTCCTTTTCTTGGCCATGCCGGGGGAGGTTTCTAAATACATAAAGAGGACAGTGGTTCTCAATCCAGGTCAATTTTGTCCTCCCAGAGGGCATATGGCAATGTCTGAAGACATGTTTTATTGTTACAACTGGGGAAGAAAGGGTGTGTGCTACTGGCTTCTAGTGGGTGGAGGCCAAGGAGGCTGCTAAATATCCTACAATGGGGAGGACAGCGCCGCACACACAGAGTGATCCAGCTCAAAATAACAATAATCCCAAGGCTGAGAAACCTGATATAGAAGTAACAAAAAAACTTAATGTCTAAAGTACTCATTATTTTGAAGGTTTAAATTTTAAAATATTTTGATATTTATTTTTACACATATATATAAAACATTAAAACATTTATTTAAAGAATAATAGGTCTGAAAGGGCTCCTAAGAAGCTATCTCTTACATTAACTCTGACTTCAAGCACAAAATGGTGTAAGGAATTCAGACAGATGGGTGCCTGAAGACTTATACTGAAGATTGGCAACTAAAGCTAAAAGTGAGACTCACACAACATGATCCCAGCATTCACACAAAAGAGATTGTCTTATATTTTAAATTTCAACCCCAGCTTCTTCAGATATGTTTGTCTCTAGATGACCTCTGAGATGAAACGGCATTTTGTCTGGGGTAGTCCTTTCTTCTGAATCAGGGGTAGCGATTCTGGTGAGATAAAAATGTGCTTAGGGCGGAGGGAGGTCTCATTACAGATGATTGAGATTGGTATTTTGGTACATGGGGCTGTATATTTGCATCATTTTCCTGGTGATACCACAGTCTGGCTTAAATGCAAGTAGTTTTTAGAGCCTCTGTACCCAGTATGGCTACATTTGCTGAAGCAGGGAGATTAAAGCAACATATGTCAGGTTGTGATATAGGACAATCCACTTGAAAAGGCTTTAATTATAGGGCCTATTTTGGGAGGGTAACTGTGCTGTTTGTGTGGTATATTTTGGGATCCACTAACCCAGCTTCAAGACCAGTAATATCTTCCCAGAAAGGGTGTGGTGTGTGCTTGCGGACATAAATGTTTTCCTACCAAACGCTTTGGTATGAGATTCTTTAGACTTTCCTCCCCTTCATTTTTCTTTTTCTGATAATCTTTTTTTTTTTTTTTAAATATATTTTATTGATTTTCTACAGAGAGGAAGGGAGAGGAATGGAGAGTTAGAAACATCAATGAGAGAGAAACATCGATCAGCTGCTTCCGGCACACCCCCTACTGGGGATGTGCCCGCAACCAAGGTACATGCCCTTGACCGGAATCGAACCCGGGACCCCTGCATCCGCAGGCCGACGCTCTATCCACCGAGCCAAACCAGTTAGGGCCTTTTTCTGATAATCTTGCTTCTTGCAAAGAATGCTATGAAAATGCATTCTGTAAAGTGGGAGAAGAGAAGGATAAAAGATCTCATTTCAGATGGCCTACCCCAGAGATTTAGGGACTAAAAACAGTCTGCTGTTTTTACAATGAATAGAATCTGGAGAAACTACCAAAGCTGAATAGTAAGCAGAGTCAAGTGAGACTATAAAAATACCACTTTGGCGCTAAATATTTTAATGAATCTAAAGGAAAATCACACATTTACAGCTACTTGTTTCTCAGAACCCCCTTTCTAATAATGTGTGGATAATGTGTGGATAATGTGTGGGTCATTTCCATGCTCTTTCAGGAGTTCTGATAACATAGAGTGGTTGTCTGCTTTCACTTGTGCTCTTTAAGACTTGTACCCTTTCCCTGCTCAGCCTCTGGTGGCCTCCCTCATTTCCCTGTTAATTCCTGAGGCCTTGGCCTTAAAGAGGGTCAGACTTTCTGCCCAGTCAGCATTTCCTAGTCCTTATTTAAAAGTGAATGATAAAGGAGAAATTAGATCAGCAAAACAAAGTTAGCAATGTGTTGGGGGGTGGGACGGGGAAGGGAGTGGAGAGGAACAGAGATAAAGAATAAGAACATTTGTCTCTGGATCTATTCTTGTTCATCAAATTATGTTGATCATTATATCCCATTATATGAGTGAGATCATGTGATATGTATCTTTCTCCGACTGGCTTCTTTCGCTTAGCAAAATGCTCTCCAGTTCCATCCATGTTGTTGCAAATGGTAAAAGTTCCTTTTTTTTGTCGGGGGGAGGGGGGGGTCAACCGGGGAAAAAGGAGGCATGTAAAACTTTAGACAATAAAAAAAAATAGAAAAATAAATAAAACATAAATTGAAAAAAAAAAAAGAATAAGAACAAGCAGGGCGCATGAACGGAGGAGGCCGTGGTGGAAGTGACCGTCAGGCCAGGTCCCTGCCGCCACCATGCTCCCGTTGTCACTGCTGAAGACGGCTCAGAATCACCCCATGTTAGTGGAGCTTAAAAACGGGGAGCACCTGGTAAGCTGTGAGAACTGGATGAACATCAACCTGCACGAGGTAATCTGCACATCTAGGGACAGGACAAGTTCTGGCAGATGCTCCAGTGCTACATTCGAGGCAGCACCATTAAGTACCTGCACATCCCCAATGAGATCAT